ATTTTTTTTTTTTCAAGACTAACCTAGTTATAGTAATAAATATATTTATATATGTATATAAATGTAACATATTTTTTGGTATTTCAGTTGGAATAACTTGAACAAATCATTTACACTAATYATAGTTATAATAGATGTCAAAGTTGAAACTTATACCGACGATGGTGATCGATATTTTCAATGGTCAATGCTCGTTATATCTCGCAGCGAAGTGAAATGAAATGCGTCATACCAATTCCATCATTATTTTTTATTGAGCYCGTTATTCGAAGCCTAAGAGCTAGTTATATTATTATTATTATTATTTAATGGGAAAACGRTTGTTTTAATTTTTCACTAGGTATTATATTGTTYTATATTTTCCGTGAATGAGAGATATCGTATTATCGTATATTATAAGACCGGAGGATAGTGAATAAATGTCACGAAATTACTTAATTACATATAGAAAACATAATAGCAATGCTGCCTACATTGCACAACTCTGATAAAACGACTAAAGCCTTTATAYGAAACTGAGATTAGTTTATCATGGCATGTGACCTTGATGTTTAATGAGCGGAATTTGGCAGAAACATTTCGATTACTCGTATTTTATAACGTTAGGTATTAAATATTATGCACTTTTCTATTTTTAAGCTCAACAAGTAAATTTATGTCTTATATTAATTTTAAATYAAATGACACTTTGTGGATAATCTAAATTCAATTACAGATAAAAAATATTGTTTTTGATAGTGGTCACTATAGAAGTTAAAAACAATAATAATTTTTATAATCATTGTTATAACTATTATTAATTATTATATAGCACTTACCTCCATATTCCTCCAAGTCTTCAGCTAGAAGTCCAGTAGCGTTGATGCTGTTCGGAGTTTCYGCTAGAGCCCAATCCGCCTCGATGGGTATTTCAGTGTGTTCAAGCGCCGTTTGGGTAATGTTCATTTTTCTTGTCAACTGCTGCGAACCGCAATCGAAAACAAAACGCAAATGCAATTACGGTATGATGAAATTATGTCGCCATATTATTTCGCGCGTGGTTAACACATCTTATAGCAGACACATTGTTGAAGTGTGGAGTATATGGTACAAGTAAAATTAATATGGATGAGTGATATATATATATATATATACTTTTTTTTGCTATCAGCTTTAATGTTACATATGGTACCTATATACAGTGTAATATTACTATATTGATACCTGTAATTGTTGGTCCTCTGGAACGTGGTCTGTGTCGCGTAAACACCATAACAGTGATGCGGATCACACTACACTCGAATACAATATTACAATATAAAATGATATGATCGAACGATATGAGGTAAAAAGCTGAAGATAATAATATAATAATGTAACGGAATCGTAAACTCGGACGTTATCGTGTGCCAACACACCTTGTGCGTAGTATTTCAAGGGACGGTTACTGGTCGTGTGCTATTCGGACGTATCTGACGGAGGTGAAAAGTTCCGGGTATACCGCGAGAGATCGGTACAAAGTCTGTTTCATTGATTATGCCCCTCCGTCGGCGCCCTGGGTCGCTGATCGGGTGACTTCGGCTCCGGACGGAATCTCGTCAAAACCATATATATATAAGCACACGCAACCACACGCCTCCTCGTCACCACGCCGCTCACACACACCCTGCACATATCCCTTTGACGCCGTTTTCGCAACTATCCACTTGGTACATAACGTTTGGACACTAAACAAAAATGCCAACAAACAAAAAAAAACACACAAAAAACAATATGATAAATAAATGAAAAACATATATATAT